GGAGCCGCCCGAGCGCCGCGCACCCAGCACCAGTGTGTGTCGCGCGCTTGGGGCCGGCGCCTCCTGTGCGCCGGGAGCGGGGCCAGCCCAGGTTGTCAGCGGGCGCACACGAATGCCCCAGCGGGCACCATGGCGCCCACGGGCACCGCGTTGGGGACCACTGCTTTAGGGGAAGAATGGCATTTTAGCAGCAGGGGTCAGGTGATTTGAAAAAGGAGGCTTGTAACCAGGAAAGTAGATACGTGGTTGCTCCTTTTGACAGAACTGAGCTGGATGCTTGAAAGGTTCCCTAAGTGTTTCTGCTTCATTGAGTCCTTCAAGTGCTGATGTATATGAGTATACACTAGACGCTCGCCTGCCTCTTCTTCCCACGCCACAGATCCTCAGCATACAGCCCCGTCTGCCCTTCTAAAATGTTGCTATTTCTCTGCCCGCCCCAGCACCTGATCACCCAACCACTAGCTCATCCCTTGGCTACATGGATGAACACTGGAGCACCGTCCTGGGAAGCCAAAGCATATGCAGGAAAGTGAGGATGAGAGAGCATACGAGGGAGATGCCGTTTACACACAAAATCTGGAGGCGGGTAGAAGAAGCAGCGGGGGAAGAAGTTTTGCTCTGAATCACCTGTTGATCAGGTGTCCCTTCCATCCACTTTGTGCACAGCCTGATTTTCCTTTCAACACTCCATTTGGCCCTACTCTCTCACATTTCCTTCACTTACATCCTAACGTGCACCCGGTTCTGCCACATTGTGTTTGTAATGTTGATCGGTGTTGGTGTTTAAAATAGAGATGTGTGAGGGCACACAAGCAGGAATATGCCATGGTCGGGCGGGGCGGAGTATGGAATAGGGGAGCGGGAACAGTACAGTAGAGGATAGGCATAAGGTGTATGAGGAGAGCTGGCATGGGGGAATACAGCTGTATGAATAGCAAGCTCTGTCTGAGGCAGGTAGCGGGTGGGGAGGTGTGGGTGGAAGGGACACAGTGGATGTCTGTGGTGACGGAAAGGGGATAATCAGCAATACTGATAGCTATGCAGGTGAGAAGCTGAGAGTTGATATACTGTGACTACATAGGGGAATTTCTAGCTCAGCCTCAGTTAAGGTTATTAGAATGCATTGTCCACCACCAGGTTTTATAAAAAGTAACGAAATGACCAGTTATGGTAGCCATCACCTCACCAACCCTCCTCATCTGCCACCTTGGACATCATGGGAAAATAAATCTTAACTCTTACCAAGAACAAAATGTGCCCCCAACGTGCAGACTTCCGTTCTGTAACTTAGACATGCCTAAGCATGGAAAAATCACTAACCTGAATTGCCCGCTCCCATGTCTATTAGAATGTGTAGGAGAATGTATCTCTGCAGTCACCATCAGCAGTCTCACACCATTACACCCTGGCACAGGATAACGGAGAACTGCCTCTGATCTATGAAAGCTCTGTCAAAACCGATATCCGTGCTCTTAGTTCAAGGGTTAGGATCAAGGTGGCGATCCGTGGGCTGTGGGACTTGGAAGGGAAGGAACTGAAAATTGCAGTGAAACTCTTAACTGCTTATTTCTTTGTTTTTTATGTGAATGATGCAGTCTAGCAACCATTAACTCCAAAGGTAACTTTTCCGGTTACTACATTAGATATGCACACAGGATAGGAGAGATTCTTTTCGGTTATTGGAGCTGTTTGCTTAGTAGATCATATTACGTAGCTTTGAGTCAAGTTCCGTTACTCTGTCTGGGTTGGAGAAATACTATGTTTTTCCTCACAGGATGTAGGAAGAGCAACTCAATGATTTCTCCTCTGGAACCTCTCTTCCCATTGTACCTTTTTTGGGAAACATAAAATGAATGCAGCTTAGGAAACAATGCTTTCATTGGATATATTTTTAAGAGTCTGTGATATTCCAATTAGCTTTGAGTTGCTTATCAATGAGTGCGTGCAGAATGTTTTGATTTGCCGTCCGATACAAAATAGTGCTTTCTTCTAATGCAAAAAAGAAAAAGGAGGACGCTGGTATTGCTAGTGTAGATACTGCTAATTGCTATTTAATTAAGATAGTCTTGCTATGGAAAAATACAGGTCTTGTTTCTGAAGATGAGCCCCACTGCTCAGATTAGTGCACTGAATGCCCCAAATATAAAAGCTAAGAGGGGCACTGTTGTAACCTTTGGCCAGATCAGACCCTGACTTTCCAGCTTCTACATATTGTAATGCCTAAGGGTGCATCTACGCTGCAACCTTAGCTCGAAATATGCTACTCAATTTGAGCTAGGCAAATTGCGTAGCTTATTTCACGTGTATTTTGAAATAGCTTATTTTGTAATAATTTCAAAATAAACTGCTATTCCGAAATGTTCCTTAATCCTCATGGAACGAGGTTTACAGGGACGTCGGAATAGCGTGCCCGTTATTTCAAAAGATATTTTGACACGGAATAGCTATTTCGCGATACCGGAATAGCGCCGCAGTGTAGACACACCCTAAATGTGCACTGTAGAGGTCAGTCTGCAACACAATGCATCCTATAGATTGGAAGCAGTTGAGGGGGTAATAGTGAAAGCATTGTAGAACTTCATGTTGTTTCTATCGTATGTTCCTGTCTGCCCTGTGCACATAGTCTGCATTGGGGCCTTCCGCATGGTGAAAGAGAGATCTGCTGCATTGTGCATGTGGAACCATTACACGGAGCAGGAAACTGGGAGTACCAGGAGGGTTAGCGTGCATTTGACAGAACTAGTTTTTCTGATAGCATGTCAGATTATCCAAATCCAGTTTGACTCAGAAGATTAGAATGAGACCTAATGTATTTGAATAGTTTGTTGAAAACTGACATGCAGGAAGCAATTGTAACGGACAAGTTTACTTCATGCATGTTCGTTTCTTCTGTATTCTACGCTTGCAGCGGGGCAGCTTATTTTGACGTGTTGCTGTGATGCAGGCCCCTGTCCATAGACAATATGGAGACAAATTCATTTTGCTTAAGTCATCAAACATTATTGTACAGCAATAAATTTCCGTCAGAGACCATATAGGAATCTAATTAAATGGGATTCTCCCCACACTTCCCTCAAGTAAAAGCACAACCTCAATTAACTGATAGTTGATTATACCATTGACTCGCATCTCCTCAGGACTAATTCTTACATGTCTAGTATCCCTTGATTGTCCAAAACGTTATCTAAATGTAGTTGTTGCTTTTCCATTATGTCTGGATGATAAATGGAATTGCCAAGTACTGTATGGGAAAATTGTACACGGGGGCAACAATATTCATGATACCTGTCATGCAGTTACAATACTCTTGGTGTCATTGTTGGTCCTTCACCAATCTGTCCGACACGAGCATCTTCAATAACATATAGAAGACTGAACTCCTTGGCTAGAACGGCAATCATTCTAGTTCAAAGGCTCGATAAGAGGGTGACAGTGAATTGCCTTTTCAAAATTAGTCCAAGACCTGAGGTAATTTTGCCATCAACATATCTTAAAATTAATATCCCTTATTTGATGTTTGAGGTTTTCGTCATTGAACCCCTCCCATACACCCCCCCACCCAAAAAAACCTTTTTCAAGAGTAAATAAGCTACTTGAACATTCAACTTCAGTCTGTTTTATTCCTGAACTAAAAGCTTGAAAGGAGGGTGCAGTAAATCTACTACTCTCTCTTTAGGGAAGGTATCGAGTGATCTTTGTAACACTCTGGTTCAGCTTCATACAAACATAGACTCACCAAGGCTGCTGCCTGTGCATTATTTGGGAAGGAAGGTGTTCTCTGGTCTGTAGGAGTTGTTTCATCGCTTGGGGCTTGCTTTCATTTTGAGTGTGTGGGCCTGTACTTGAGAAGTGTGGCTCCGAGCAAACATGACTGGTGAGAATAGAATGTCTTGTAGACTGTGCAACAAAAGATAGTCTAGATTTTATAATTTATTTATCTGGGACCTGATCTGATTTGTCAGTGGCAAAACACCATTTTCAGTGAAAGCTGAATCAGACTTCTGCCTAGTGAATTGATAGTATTCCACTATTAAAATAGGTCCTCCTTTACAGTTCTCACTTTGAGATAGAAAACACTTAGATTCTCATTTTTAATCCAATGTAAATACTGATTATGGCATACAGATTCTAGCAATGATTACTGGGGGAAAACAAGATTCATTTATTAGTTAATATATCAACAACGATTCTGTGAACCTTGAGTCATAACTACCTCATATGGGCTGTGTGTTTGCTGCAACCTGTCAAAAGAATTTCTGTAGTTATTTTAATGTTATAATGTAACACATTCTTCTTGAATATTACAGAAGAAAATTCACAAAAACAGGTTGATGATCTGGGAAGGCAATTTACAGAAATCTTCATTAAACAGCAAGAAAATGTCACTCTCCTGTTGACCTTTCTAGAGGTGAGTGGATAATGAAGAAGCATTGAAGTGGGTGTCTTATTCTGTGGATGAAGGACATACATCTTGCCTCTCTGGTGTAGAATAAGTTAAAATTTGAGGCCGTATAAGAAAAACGTTGGTGACTATGGGCATGAAATCATTCTTCCAAAATGAAGATGGCAACATCTCACAATAGGAAGGGTGAGAGTGCTGCTTTTAGAAGCAGAACAGCCATATAAATGGTTAGACGAAGGGTCTCACATGCCTGGCGGAGAATGTGGGCGGGGAGAGGGGCATGGCCACTGCCACCACACCGTGCCAAGGTCCCCTAAGATCCCCAAAACCACATGCTCCGGGGACTGGGTGCTGTGGGGGCGAGGAGGGGGAAGGTGGTGTTCCGGGGGCTGGTAAAGTACCAGATCCCCCAAGAGTCCCAGGTTGGATTGCGCAATTGCTTCTGCCAGGACTAACCTGCAGGCCAGGAGTTTGAGACCCCTGGGTTAGAGGAACCCTGGGGAGAGAAGGGTGGAGAAGAAGCTAGTGGAAGTTCAGGTTACTGTTAAAGCAGAACCTAGGGTATGAGATTTGGCTTTGCACTGTTCCAGAGCAGGAGGGAGGGAGGGAAAGGGACTTGCTCATAATGATGAATGCCCATCTACCTTAGGGCCATTTGGCACCCAGTCATATAGCTGTCCTGTCTTTAAAGTCACTGTGTAGGCTACTTGCAGTCATGTGAAATGCTCCTGGATTCACTGTGCAACATCACTTTCTATATCCCTGCAGGAATTTGACTTCCAAGTTCGCTGGCCTGGAGTGAAACTTCTGACATCATTGTTAAAGCAGCAGGGACCCCAAGTGCAACAGATCATTCTTGTCAGTCCTATGGGTAAGGGATTTGGGTTGGCCTCTGGCTCATTTCAATGGGACATTCAGCAAGATGTCGGGCCAATGGGGCACTTCTAGCAGAGCATTATAACAACTCTTGGAGGGACTTCCAAATGGGGAGTTTAGTAAACGCTATATAGTAATTCACACATCATGTGGTTGCTTGCTTTGTCAGGTGTGTCGAGGCTCATGGATTTACTTGCAGATTCTAGGGAGGTGATACGGAATGATGTAAGTACAGAGCAGAGGCGTTGCAATCATGCCTGCGCATACGTTTAAAGTTATGTATTCATGTCATAACTAGGAACTAGCTCTGCATTGCATTGTTTCTGTAATTCTGCCCTCGGCCTCCTCTTGGCCCCGTTGCTGCAGGGTCTGTGTGCTCTGGCGTGACTTAAAAGGGCAGAGGAAAGGAGTGGATTGGCATGTCCCTTGGACAATTGCAGACTTTGTGCTGAATGGCATTCGCATCAGTAGCTCGTAAAACAGCCATGGGCAATAGCAGGCCCCCGGGGCCACATGCAGTTTGCCCGGGTTAATCCCTGGTGCGCCGCTGGCACTTCATTTCCCTGTGCGTCCGCAGGTACAGCTGCTGGTAGCTCTCATTGGCCAGGGATTGCCATTCCTAGCCAATGGGAGCTGTGTGAAGTGGTGCTGACTGGAACACCACTCCCCACAGCTCCTATTGGCCAGGAACAGTGATCCCCAGCCAATGGGAGCTGCAGGCGGCTGTACCTTTGGATGCCCGTGGAAATAAAGCACCGGCAGCCCACCAGGAGCTAACCCTGGTAACTGCGTCCAGTCCATGGGCTGCTTGTTGCCCGCCCCTGTTGTGGAACCACAAAGCATTGTGCCTCCATCCAAGCGTGTAGCTGGGGGCAGTATATCTAGAGATGATCTCCATATTACTGAGGAGTCCTGCTCTGGGTATGAGAGTTTAATTTTTATAGCCAATTCCTATCTTCATTCTGTCTTTAGGCAGGTTTTTACATTGCCGTTTAGAGCTAAGTTTGAGGCACAAGACACTACTATACACGCTCGGTGGGGTTTGATGCGAGATGCCGTATGCATGATAATGTACAATTGTATCCAGTAATCCCCAAGGTTTACATTGCTAATGTATGATACTGTTGAGAAGGGCACTTCTTAGAAGCTAGCCCTCCTCTTCTAGTAAAGCTTTGTCTACTCACTATATTTATCTTCTTCCGGAAGGGAGTCTTATTGCTACAGCAGCTGACAAAAAGCAATGCCGCCATTCAGAAAATCGTTGCTTTTGAAAACGCCTTTGAGAGGCTGCTGGATATCGTAACAGATGAGGGGAACAGTGATGGAGGTATGAACTGAGCGTTGCTTTACTCACAAGGTGGTGTGGCAATAGAGATGAAATGCTAGGACTGTTGAAATGCTTGTGTCAATCAAAGTAAAATCTCAAGGCTTGGTCTGTTTGATATAGAAACACCAGTGTAACCATCAGACGGTCACAGTTGGTAACTTTCAGGTGTTACCAGTGCTATGGGGATGGGTAAAGGGACTGAGTAAATAGAGTAGAATGGTGGGATGAGCAAGCCTACAACTTCCAGGGTCATCTTGGATTTGGTGTTGTGGACTTCCATTCAAGATTTGCAAACTTTATTTCTTCTTTGCATGTATCTACGTGGATCCCACAGTGGGCGCACGTGCAGAAGAATGGATAGCCAGGAGCGTGAGTGATCTTCTCCTGGCTGAACCTCCTTATGCAACAATCCATAGGAATAAAGTGGTGCTCAGATATCACTCAGAGTCATCTAAGCTAGTCATTTGAACCTTACCTGTCTTCTTCCCAAAGCCAGCTCGGCACGGGGGCAGAGGAAATTAGGCAGGACTTCCGTTTCTTACATGGACGGGACCTCACAGATTGACGTTCTAAAGGTCAAGTGACCTCGTCACAGGGATGTTGAAGTGTGTAACGCAATGGTGTACTGAACATGAACACTCCCACTGGCGCGGTGCCTGCCAACATCCTCTGCCTGCTGTGGGAATGTGCCAGTTTCAGAAAACTGCAAGGCAGCAGTGTGGTGTGACCTGCTGCTGAGTGGTGTGTTGGATGTAGGTGATAGGTTGGCTCAATCCTACAGTCATTATTTGAGGAGTGCGGCTCAAACTCCTCATTCCAGCCTCTTGAACAGTCGCTTCTCCTACAGTAATTGGGGTTTTTCAGTGTGCTGTGGTTGCATATATCACAACTCACCCTCCATCACCACATTCCTGAATCCTCAGCTCCCACAGACTTGGAAGTGTGAGGTAACTGAGGAAAGGTTGCAACTCTTCCATGTTTTTCAGCCCCACACAGCAGCGTGGGAGAAGCAAAGGTGCAGGTGTGGCTGTAATAGACCCGGCTGTTAAACACCAATTAGCTCTTGCTGACGTAAGATGCATGGGCGTGCATGCTTACAGTGGGGGCCACGCTGACTACACCATCTCGGACAACCACAGTGACCAGTGGAAGCCACCAGTCTTTATCCCTCTGTAAAATACACAGAATAACAAGCTATTGCCTCTGACCCCTTAGTCCAAAAATGATCATTCTGGATATAAACGCTCAGTAGAATTGGGCGTGAAGGGAAAATGCCAGGCCAGACAGCTAGCGTAAGAGATGCTGTCTGTTTCCCTCGAGTCTTTAACTTAAAACATGAGGCTGAACGTGCTGCATGTCCAAACGCGTTGCCAGAGACAAGATGCAATGAAAAGAGATGGAGAATGTTGCAGTATTGATCATGTAAGCTCCGTAACACTAAAAACCCCAGGGGGTAATAAATAGTAGCAGCCTCTGGGGATGAGGCCCGAGGGAAGTTAACAGGCCTTTGCTCATAGACAACTTAGTTATTGGAAGGGTCAAAAGTGTTTAAACTCAAAGGATATTGTTAAGCAGATCATGATGAAATATTTCTATATGAGGGAAGAAAAAGTGAAAGAGCAGATTGCAGAGATGGCACCTGTTTTCAGAAGTGCTCAGCTCTCCGCTCTCTTCCTGCCTATTTCTCCGCTTCAGGTTTGATTATTTTCACTGTGACCTTCCTGAGGCGCAGGTGGCAGAGCATGGCTGTCCGCAGCATGGCTAGTAAGGGAATATTGTCAGACAGCTGATCTCTGCTGCTCCGTGTCCTAATGCGACACGCCCTTGCCTGTCGTTTTCACAAACTGAGGGGAATTAAGCTTTACGCCTCTGTATCTGCAAACCAAGTTGGATGCCAGCTGAGGAGCATAGAAATAGGAGGGTGTTGTCACCAGTCCTTCTGCTCCTGTCATTCAGTTTCTTGGGTCAAATTGCCCAGTGTAATATTATAGTTACACCCTTTTCTCTGCACAGATTTTGGTCATTATTGCTTGTGATAATGCTATTTCAGCTCCATAGCGTTCACAGATTAAATTGGATTATTTCACTGATTAGAAGAATTCCTTCTCCCTTTCAGAATTTTAAATTAGAGACAACTTTGGAATGAGAGAAAAGAAGGTTGTTTGACTCTTAGCCGATGAATAAAACTAGAGGATTACCAAGTACGAATCACTACAGTAAAACCCTTATCTTGGATCCCTGGCATCAGACTACTGTTATGTAGGATTGTCTGTCTTTTTTCACAGCAGTAGAAGAGGAGACCAATGAAGCCTGTTCCTTGAGTTGAGAGACATACTTCTAGCCACTAAAAATCCCCCAAAAGACTACATTTTCATTGCCACAAGAAACCTTTTTATTACACTCAGTGCATATTAGCTAAACAAATAAGTTTCATTGTAGAGTTGTGGAAGAACTACAATTTGTCCCCATTAAAATATTGGGCTTCCAAGAATTGACAGCAAGTCTCATTCTGTTCTGCTATACCTGAAGAGTGTTAGACCTCTGGAGATTGAATATCTTTGAGTTTCTCAGTCAATCCTTGCCTTACCTTTTGTCTTTCCAGGAATAGTAGTAGAAGACTGTCTTCTCCTGTTACAAAATTTGTTAAAGAACAATAATTCCAATCAGAATTTCTTTAAAGAAGGTTCGTACATTCAGCGTATGAAACCTTGGTTTGAAGTTGGAGATGACAACTCTGGTTGGTCGGCACAGAAAGTAACTAATCTTCATCTAATGTTGCAGGTAAAACAGCTTGTGACTTATTGCTGGAAACTGTGCTAGGAATTACATACTTTCTTCTGCTTTCTAAATCATTACTTTGTGCTTTCATGGCTAGCTGTTTGCTTTTTTTTCTTTTGAAAATGTCTGATGCCAGAAACTAAATCTAGTCAACTGAAAAAAAAAAAAAACCTCCAGAGATAAGAATGGGTAACTCATTCTTTCTCTCTCCCCTGTTGCTATATGATCAGACTGTGAAATTGTGCAGAGTTCTCTCAAATCTCAAGAGTAAACTGAAAAAGTGAAAGTATTATTAGTAAGGTTGGACCCCCTCCCCTTTTGTAAAGACTTCATTAAACTTAATGTCAAGTGAAAATGTACAGTATGGAGGCTTGATAGCTGTGGAAGCCATGTAGTGGGGGTAGCATCATTACTGTGGTACTGGATTGACGGATATGGTCCTCATGCCAATGAGAATACACAGTTTATGGATTTAAAATATTGCTGAATTCCATAGGCACGTTGACTAGTCTGTCCCCAGCAAAGGGAACTGTAAGGTAACGGGTTGTAAGGTGGTAGTGTAAAATACACTACATAAGCATTCCTGGATCATCTTTAGAAGTTGTCACAACTATCAGTATGTTACAACTGGAATTTGAGCAGAGTCAAATACTCCTAATACACAAAAGGTCTGACAAGTACGTATATGTAGGAAAAAGAAACTGACAGACACTTTTAATTTCCACAAATGGACAGGGCCTTAAAAAAACTATTAGAAGAATAATGGTAGGCATCCTTTTTTAATTAGGTTTTGACTGCTGCATTTCCACCTACACATATGTACGCACACATGTACTATGCATTTTTTTTATTCAAGAAACTGTTAAACTCGAGCAGTAGTTGGTGTCTTACAATGGAAAAAAATATATTGGCCTACCATTGTTAACAAAAAAATCAGTTAATTCTAGCTAAGTTAATTACATAATGTGGTAGGAATATTGCCATTTTAAATAATTTTTTAGCACAGAAATGCTCTTTAAAATATTTTGAAAAACACTTTTAATAAATGACTTATTAAAATGTATTAATGTTAACATTATATTTATTTTTAAATTAATGTATGAAGCAAGTGTCAATTCTTTGGCCAAGGACTCAATTGTTCAAAGCAGTTGCAAAACATACCTCATGCATGTTTATGATGCCTTTTTAAAGTATATGGAATTTGCCATCACTGAGAATTCATGACTGGGATAATTGCTTAATTGGCACTTTTGTTTTTCACTGAGGTGCATGTTAGGATGTTTTTTCTGTGCTGTGATGACAACTGCCTTAAGAATAGAGACGCACGATAATTCATTCTGAAGGAATCCTGCCGTCTTGTGAAAAGTAGTTGGATTCAGTTTATAACAGAGTTATGTGCACAAGTAGCACAGTTGTTCCATTTGGACCATTCCTTTCGTAGTTTCAACGCCCACAGCGGGCTCAGCCATTTCAGAAGCGTCAAGGAATCCTCAGGGGCTGGGTGTTACTTTGGCTTCTAATCCAATTGCGGTTTTACAAATGTGAAACGCAAAGGCCCTGGACATTTGTGGGAATTAAAAGCTACATTCTTTCTGAAGAGTAGAGGTGACGTGTATGCGCTTGATTCCCATTTACAGTCTCTTGCGGTTTCAATAGTCGTCAGATGCTCCTTGGACATAGACAGTTTTGTACAGTAATTCTCATTTTCTCTTGTTCACCATTTGTACCAAGCCTAATGAAGAGACACAGCATGCTTCCCCCCCCTTTCAGTTTTCACATGTGCATGAAGTCAGCGTTTAACACCATGATTCCCTCCACCCTATACCAACGTGCATCTCTCTTTGCAGCTTGTGCGGGTGCTGGTGTCCCCCACAAACCCACCTGGTGCCACCAGCAATTGTCAAAAAACCATGTTTCATTGTGGGTTATTACAGCAGCTTTGCACAAACCATGCTTCCCCCCCCTTTCAGTTTTCACATGTGCATGAAGTCAGCGTTTAACACCATGATTCCCTCCACCCTATACCAACGTGCATCTCTCTTTGCAGCTTGTGCGGGTGCTGGTGTCCCCCACAAACCCACCTGGTGCCACCAGCAATTGTCAAAAAACCATGTTTCATTGTGGGTTATTACAGCAGCTTTGCACAAACCTGATGGCAACCGGGGCTCCTGCAGCGAGTAAGCAGGGAGAGGAAATAGCCAATGAGCCAGAAAGCATCAGGTTGGGAAGTCTGAGAAATTCCAGTTTCTTCTTCCTATGCAGTGGCTTTATTTTACAGAGCTATCTCTTTGTCAGATGTAAAACTCTCTTGGCTTTTGAAATCCCAGCTTGAAGTGCATGTATAAATGTTTGTGTTGAGGATGTTAACTAGTGGTTAATTGACTCGTCCAGTAGTCGATGGAATTTCCATTGACTACTCGATAGGCACTTCCACATTCCTCCTATGAAATGCACAAGAGCCCCTGCTGGGCTCTTGTACATTTCAAAGGAGGATGCGGAACTGACCCTGGATTGCATGCAAAGTCCTACTGAGTGGGTGCCCTTGTGCATTTCAAAGCAGAAGCACCAGCTTGGAGCCTGGAGTCGGCAGGACTCAGAGTCCCCCGCTGACCCTGGGCTCCTTGCTGCGCTGCCACTTTGAAATGCCACGTGGAGCCTGGTCTGACCCCAGGTTCCGCTCAGCATTTTCCCCCCTTGGCTTTTCAAAGGGGCAGCACCACCTTAGCTGGGGAGTCTCCAGCTGACCCCGGGCTCCACACGTGCAGTGCTGGCTCAGCTGTGTGAGGCTGCCCCCTTTGAACATCACCTCAGCTTTTAAAGGGGCAGCGCCACACAGCTGAGCCCAAGAATGCCGTGCTGGAGCCAAGGATCAGTTGGGGAGTCCCCAGCTGACCTCGGGCTCCACTTGCAGCGCTGCCGCTTTCAAGTACCTGCTCTTCTCCCCCCTTTGCTGCCTCTCTCTGATAGAGGCAGCAAATGGAGGGGAATCGACTAGTCGACTAGTCTTTACTATCCCTCGTTTGTGTATGTTCAAAATTTACTGGAAGGTAACATAATTTGCTCATTGCTTTTTGTGGGGCTAAGTATCCCACAGCTGGCTCAGTCCCTTGTCTTTTTCCTGACCTTCAGTGCCAGAATGATCAAGTTCGCCTGCGTTTGCACAGTTGCAATACTAGATATATTTTTTTTAGCTTCTGGGAAGTCCCTTCCCTGATTAAGTTAATCCCTTCCTTGCGGACACTAACGAGATTAAATGGGTCCCAGTGATTATCCACCTCCAACATAGCAGCCTTGTCTGTGCTTGAAATGTTTGTCATGGCAGTTGCATTTGGAACTTTCTAGGTATCCATAAGATGTTTCGGTCTAACCTCATCTCTGATGTGGGTACATAACAACTCTCTGAGCTTATTTCACTTGGGCCTACCCTCCACTGTAGTGTGACCACCTTTCCATAGAGAGATGTCTGAGTCAATCACTTCAGTCATTCCACTTACCTCTTCCTAATTTACCTGAATTTACCTCCAACATAAATCTGGTTTTAGTTTAATTGTGTGGTAACCTCATAAACTGACTCCAAGTAACTGAGTCGCTATGATGCTACTTCTGTTACGAGTTGGTCTTTAACAGGTGGAGGGGTATTTGCAACTTCCCTCTGTAACCTGCACCATTCTGAGATACGTTCGGGTTCTACTTTCCTAAATGACTAATCATATTAAAGCCAAGGTAAAGCTTTGGCTTTCATGGTTTGAAAGCACTTTCTTCTCCTCTACGTAAGGACTTCTAAATGTAGGATATACTGGTCATATACTATGTTAAAAAGATGATAAAATATTCCGTAAATATTTGGACTGTTGAAGGAATTGGTTTGGTTGCTTTCTTAGTATGTTGATTTCCACGTCAGCTTTGTGTGGCTTATCTTACTTTCTTTTAGACCATTAACACTGTGTCAGAAGTCATTCGAGGATGCCAAATAAACCAAGACTACTTTGCTTCTGTAAATGCACCTTCAAATCCACCGAGGTAGGGGAAGACAAATGCTTAACTATTTACCAAGCAAAGATTTGTTGGCATGGGAAAGAACAAGTTAATGTAGCTTCCATTTAGAACCTGTCATCTGTCAGAAAAGGAATCTTATTAAACGATTTAGAGTTACAGTAAATTATTTTAGATTGAGGTCTCACAGTGGAAGGATTATCAAGCATACATAAGTTGAAGTGGGAAGATGTCTAGCGGGTTTCCATACAGAATGGCTTTTGAATTGGTCTCACTTAACACCTTGCTTTGTGATCTGGAAAAGGAAACTAGCCATACATTAATGAAACTAGCACTTCAAACTGCATTTGAGATGCTGTCAACACCAATGAAAGGAAAGAGAACAAATAAGAAACTCGGGGTCTGGCTGTGCTGCAGTTAAAAACTTGTAGCTGGCTCATGTCATCTGATTCAGGCTGGTGAGGCTTGGACTGTGGGTCTGTTTAGTTGTGTAGATGCTCAGGATCTGGCTGGAGCCCAGGATCTGGGGTCCTCCCCCCCTCCCCATGCCAGATCCTGGAGCTTGAGCTCCAGCCCAAGCCTGAGTGTCCACTCTGCAATTAACCAGACCCGTAATCGGAGTCCTGGGAGCCCAAGTCGTCTGACCAACGCCACCCCAGAGTTTTTCATTGTAGTGTAAATATTAGGAAAATAGGCAGAAAATGACCTTTACTCAGGTGGATGGGAGGAGACAGGCTTATGCATTTAGGAGAAATTACTTTACTCTGCCCCATGCCCGCTCCATGAGAGGAGAACTTGTAAAGCATTAGTGCTACAAAACCCAAGATGGGCAGCAGTAGCAAACTGGACATAATTTAGGAGCAGGATCCCCCAGATTTTTAAATCTAGTATCATATTGGGCAGTCTGTGGCAGCGCTTCATGACCTAGAGCAGAGAAGGACGTTTTCTGTCCAGCTTTGATGTGGCTGCTCCTGAATAACATGTTCAGCTGCAAATGCTTCCTACTCTAAAGATACTGCTGTGTTGGAGAACAGTAACTGCTGTCAGAGCAGAATGGAATCAACTCAAGTAAAACATGAACATGGAATAATATGAATAATTTGCCTCCACAGTTAGGAAGAGGAAAAATAAGTCTACTAATTATTTGAATGATGCAAACAACAGGGTGGGAGAGGAATTCAGTGTAGTACCTGAAGGTAGAAGAAGTCAGCATAACAGATTAGAAGAATTTCCTTTAATAAGACCTATTAGACAGTAAAAAAGCCTCATTGCTTGATCTTTTGATACTGAACACTATAGAAAAATCCTGTAAAAACCTGAGTTGGCAAGGACAGGCAGTGGATGATCCAACAGGCCTCTGCAGACTCCCGCTATAGCTCCACGATAATCCTAATAAACAAAATGTACTATATTGGGAGAGACTATTTTAGGGTTAAACCTGAAAATCCATTGACCCCTAAAGATAAATATCTAAATCTGCGGTAAAGCTTACCTAGAACTAAAGCTGATAATATTTTGGCTCCGGGGGCAAGTTTCTTTGAAGTAGAAGCAGACTCTAAAAGAGTGGCTGTGACATTCAAAGTTAAGATATGCAAAGCTTTATCTCCTAGCTGGCCTAGCATGTAGCTTTGCTGCAGCTTCTTAGATGTACAGCCTTCCATTTCAGTTGTAAAAATGCCTCTGGAGATACACATTGTCTCTCTGCAATCATAACATCGAGTGCAACCATGTTCTTTGGATCAATTTAACCTCAAAATATTGTTTTAAAAACAGAGCTTTTGCTTTACTGTCTAAATGCTTGACATTGTTTTGTTTCTTAGGCCATCTTTTTTAGAGGTTTTCTATATCTAGAGGAAATCAGCCCCTCAAGTTCCAGTGGTGCTTGTTAAATTGGCTTTTTTTAAAACTTAAATATGGATTTATATGCTGCTATTTACATTTCTATGCAAACACGCCACTAAAAGCATTCCCGCTTTGCTCCTGGGTCATGATTAGTTGTTTCCCCGCATCAGAGAAGAGTCTGTCAGTGTTACAAGTCTGATTTTTGCCAGTATAGACAACACCTAACAAAGATTTCACTGGAGCTGAAATACCTACATCTAAGCTTTCATTATTCCTGCGACCCCAATTCGAAGTGTATCCTGTACAGGAACTACAGTTGTATTTATTTTGTGACGTTTATTCTAATGGCCTGTCTTTTCTATCAAAACAGACCTGCAATTGTTGTGCTTCTGATGTCCATGGTGAATGAAAGGCAACCATTTGTGCTGCGCTGCGCTGTTCTTTACTGTTTCCAGTGTTTCTTATACAAAAACCAAAAAGGACAAGGGGAAATTGTTTCAACACTTCTACCGTCAACCATAGATGGTACGCAACTTGTAAATTTCAAAAACAAGCCCCATTTTTGCATACATTTGGGTGCATCTTAAAAGTTTTCTATAAAATATTACATGTCCTTAGTGAAGTGTCAAGAACAAGAGATGTAAAAATCACCTTGTTTTGAGAGAGAATTTTTGGACTTGAATTGTGCTTGAACGTAACTGACAATATATAACATTAGTGCGTTGAAGGTATAAGAACTCAGGCTGTAAAATTTGGCTAAGTATTTATCCTCTAGCAGGCTAAAGACTGCTATGAATCTAGTTAGTTATCTGTGATTGGTGTTGAAGTGGAGGGATTGTTCCTATTTATTATGCTCTGTGCTAATTTGTACAAAAATGTTGATGTTTTTGTTCTTTGGTATATAATTTACACGCTCAGACTAGAAAGTCAGCAGTAATTTTCAACCATGTACTTTTACAATTAGGCGTGGGGTGCATATGTGAGAAAATGTTTCCTGACAAGAAAAATTCCAAAGAGGCTGAGATTCTGATCAGTATTTTAATGAGATACAAAATTTTAAACATCAAGTCAAAAAAACAGAGATGTATTTCATGGTGTAAAATGCGAAATGGCATTGGCTTTAAAAAAAAAATTGGCTTTTATGATCTTGCCTTGTTTCTTTCCATTATTTATGAAACAGCCAAAAAACTTTGCTATATGTGTGTCGAAGAATAAGGCTGTTGTGCTCCAAGGAAAGGGATATAACAGATAAGTAAAATAATGGGAAGGAAGTCTAACGTATTGCTTTTTAATGCCATATGTTTTGCTTTGAGCCAACTTTCCCTTGAAAACAGTCGTTCTTGCACTCCTCCTGTTGCTCTGTATTCCTTCCCAATATAGACATTGGGCTAACTATAAGCAGATGAGATCAAAGTCAAATTTTCATTTATTTTACAATTAAATCAAGAACCTTGCTGCAGTCTTCCAGTTGTACAAGCTGGAGACAGAGGCCTTTGTGTGCCATAACTCTGAAGGGCTAGTACGACAGAAATGTGACTGCGAATGCATGAAAACAAATAGTGCTTGATGGACTCGTCCCAGGGTTCTGAGGTATAAAGCTCACCAAGGCTTTCCCATTCCTGTTTTAACACACAGTGTCTTCCTTATCTGATCCAACTCCTCTATTAATTATCTGCCTGTCCAAATTCAGGTTGCTCACCTTGTCAGAGTATCGCAGCTCATTAAAATGTTCAGGGAGCAAATCTTATTAATTATGTACTCAGTAAGATCTTTACAAGCTTGTCTGGCAAGCTCCATCTGTCATTCTACTTCACGCTTTTCCTCTCTGGAGTTCAGAGCTCTTTCGGAAAGAGCCCTCCCTTTCGCCTGTGAGGAATCAGACGCTGGGAGGTTAAATGGCTTGCCCAGAGTGACTGCGGGTTGATAGTGGTAGAAGTGTGACTAGACCCCAGGTCTCTCAATTCCCAGTTCCAGCTTCCGGATCCCGCTGCCTCACACAGGAAAACGTGGTGAGCCAGCCTAACGACCGGCTGCGTGCGGTTGTTTAGGGATGGTGAGAACCTTCCAAATGCTTAATGTTACCTTTTAAATTAGTTGTTACTGGAGGAATACAACTCCAGTTAGCTAACAGCGCTCTCTGAAAGTTGAGTCTTGCAGGGGTTGCTCTGACACTGGGCGTGGAGAAGGCCTCGCTGTGCACAGTTTCTTCCAGGAGCAGTCAATATGGCCAGCTAGCTGGAAGTGCTTGACAACAGCATGAAAGACCCTCTCTCTCTGCCTCACAAGAAAGCAGTCGTTTTCCACTGGGCTAGCCCTAGTCTACTGTGGAGGTGCCATATTTTAATTGCTAAAAGTTTTATACAGCTTGAGAGGAATTTGTGCCTGGAAAATGCCTTCAGAGGCCCTGAGAGCTGAAATTGTAACTTCTCTGAGATGGGGACTGTGTGTGTGTGAGCGGATCTAGCACAATGACGTTCCCATCCAAGAGACACCTACAGAACAGCTCCATATACCCCAGAGGGGTAGGTTATAGGCTTTAGGAAGTCCCATTGTCAGGTCCTTGAGAAGAATTAATACAGGGATTAAAGTGTAACCTTTATAGGCTTGGAAGGCCATGAGAAGGGGGTTTTGAGGGATACGCTTGCCCTTAATAGTTCCTAAGGCAGAGTGCAGGGAACCGAGGTCCCCATCCTGTTTGGGGGCCCTCGGTGCTCCTCCATTATAAATATTTCACGAGTCTTGATCCTGGCTTGCTTTTGTGCCACAGCATCTGTTTGCCGTTCTTGTAGCTACAGGTAATTCCGTGTCGGCTGGCCAGCTGCTCTGCGGCGGACTCTTTTCCACAGACTCTCTCTCAAACTGGTGTGCCGCAGTGGCCCTGGCCCATGCTTTAGAAGAAAACGCAACTCTGAAAGAGCAGCTGCTACGAGTTCAGCTTGCAACGAGTATCGGTAACCCTCCTGTGTCTTTGCTGCAACAGTGCACCAACATTCTTTCCCAGGTAGAGTGTTTACTGTATTACTGGCGTGGTTCTGTTCACTTAGGAAAAAATGTTCCCTTGATATTAGTGACTCAGAGAAAAATGCTAATTTTTGTGGAAGATTCAATAGTAATGTTAGTTTTAGCTGTTACTGCAAAGTATAGAGTGACTTTCTAGTAAAAATTGAAGTGAAGCAGATACACCATCATAAAGCGCCATTAGGAGCCACTGTCCTTCGTCATGAGTCAAACATCTTAGATTTGAAATGGCACCAACTAAAACAATCCTACTTCTGTCTTGAAATGCTTTGCCTACAGTTACAAGAAACACCAAACATTCCTGTAACTGAAAAAATTACTTAGTTCAGTTTACATAGATAATGCAGAGTACTGTCACATGCCCAGCTCCGCCTGTTTGGGTCTTTCATTTAGCAATGTGGGGGAAACCAGTTATTTCATTTAGAAAGGGAAATAATGATAAAATCACTGAGAGAGAGAAAGGGACTTAGGCAGTTATATGTAGCACCTGAAACTATTTTAAATTGCTTTCTGAAAAGGCTAAAATTTAAGTCGATGGGAGCCCTTTTGTGTTGCACTGTAAATACAAAAGTTATAGTCGCTGTGCCACGTGTCATTAGAAGCCCAAGCTTGATTCAAGCATCACTCATAAACTTTTCAAGTTTCTTTTTTACTTGTTTGGTTCTTTTGTCTGAAATGATGCTAACTGAATACGAGAAACATAGATTTTGTAGATGTTGACTTTACTATAAAAATGTCCAGGATAGGGATTGTTTTACTTGCTCCTTGAATTCTGATGCATTTTAACATAATAGTTACAATAAAATAGCCGCTACATTTTTGGTCCTGCATTTTGCTAGTACCTGAAAAGAAAAAATTGAGGTATTTCTAAAGTTGTCTAGAAAAAGCCCTTGAATAATATGTGTGAATTTCTTAATATGTGATTTTACAGGGTGATAAGATCGACAGACGGGTATGTATTTCTTGGCATAGCTTAGGCGTTTTCTTGTCACAAGCAGGGCCTTTTCTGTCTTGGGTTTTGCTGGTTTTTTAACTGCTTTTTTTGAAGTGTTTCCACTTACAGTGCCGTGTTGCAATCGGTTTTTATTTCTATAACAAACTCTCTCCGTGTGTCTCCATGGGATTCTGTCCTGGTCTTCCTGGGAACTGTGGGATGAGGTCTTGGGTGCCAAAGGTGCTTTCTTTTCAATGGGGCATTGCACGGTCACCACCAGCTCTGAAATTTACTACATTTTGTTCACCCGTTTTCACAATGTCCATTACATTTTCCTGTAGCGTGAAATTGAGTCAATGTTCGGAATTGTTACAAACACTTTTCTTTCTGAGCAGGAGGAAGGGGTGGGCATAACTTGTAGCCGAGAGATTGTTTTTGCTCCTAATCACTAATGGAACAAGTGTCCCATTTCCCTGTTCCCATCAATATGTATACTGTCATTTCCATTGGTGATTTCTTTTGCAGAATTTTATCCCCAATTGTCTTAATTTGTAAACAGGAAGGATGGGATTTTTTACCAAGCAATTCCAAAACGAGCACCCACCCCACCTCCCTACCTTCAAGGCGTCCCTTATCCTGCCTTCCTAATGTGGGAGCCAGCTCCATCCCAGAGGCAACTGGTGTTGCCTGCCTGGCCCATACCAGGGTGGGCGGGGCTTAGACGCACATCCTGCCCTCCCCAGGCAATTGCCCTATCCCCTACCCCACAACCCAAGCCACGAGCATCTGATTTTGAGCTTATCGCCAGACTAAGGCTATGCCCTCCTTATAGGGACTGCCATGCCTGCAGTTCAGTAGCTCTAACAGCAGGCACTGTGGTGGTTTAGATGCAGTGATGGGGCTATTCCATCACTGTAGAAACTCCACCTCCTGCGAGAGGGCAGCTGTGGTAACAGTAGCTTTCTTCCACTGGCCTGGCTGTGTCCGCACCAGAGGGGAGGCTGTGGTGTTCGGGGGTGGGTTTTTCACATCCCCGAGCACTGTAGCTCTGTCAGCTGAAGTTTTACGTGTAGTCCAGATAATAATCACTGGCAGTTAGTGCGCTGCTAAGCGTGGCGTCGCCTGTAGTGACGTCTTTCCTGAGCGTTGCTGCTGTATATTGTCTGCTTGTGTCCCTGGGCACAGAGTGACACAGTGTCCCAAGTGTGTGCTGTTGCTTTATAATGCAGGGTAGACTCTTACGGTGAATTTTTGGGGGGGTTTTAAACTTTCAGCTAAAATGTGTCAGCAGCTTCCCAGAACAGGAGTAAGGAAGAACACGTGTTGCCTTGCCTGTGCTTCCTTTGTGCGAAGCTGTGAGAGCTCCATGCTTTCAGCAGAGGTCTTGCAGAGTCTTCTATCAGATAGAGGCAGCAAAGGGGGAGTGGAGGGAAGGATGCTTCAAAGCGGCAGTGCCGCACAGCTGAGCGGGGGATCAGCCATGCAGCGCTACTGCTTTGAAACCCCAAGGCGGCATTTCAAAAGGGCAGCCATCTCATAGCTGATCCCTGGCTCAGCTGTGCAGAGGCTGCCCCTTTGAAACGCCGCCTCGGCATTTCCGCGGAACCCAGGATCAGCTGGGGAGTCCCCAGATGACCCCGGGTTCTGGGGAAATGCCACGTGAAGCCTTGGATCAGCTGGAAAGTCCCCAGCTGAACCCAAGCTCCTCGCGGCATGCAGCACAGCATGGAGCCTGCGGTCAGTGGGGGACTCTCCATGAGGGTGGTGAGGCTTTGAAATGCACAAGAGCCCCCGTTTTGTGCATATCAAAGCTGGCACACGGTGTGTAGCCCAGAGTCAGTGGGTCTTCGCGCTGGCCCCAGGCCGCACACGGAATTCCACATTCCTCCTTTGAAATGTACAAGAGCTCCCGGTGAGACTCATGTACGTTTTAAAGGAGGAATGCAGAAGTGCCTATCGACCAGTCGATGGAAGTTCCATCGACTACTCAACTAGCCAGTTAATCGCAATTTAACATCCTTAGTGCAGACACAAAGGGCGCTGGGCCGTTCTCACACAGATCCCATGGGCTGGAACAACTTGCCTTGTGTGATTTTGAGGCTCTCTGCATTCCTAGCCATGCTCAACTTGAGGATTGGCTATGGTCTGATGGTATTTTGATGTGTTTTCCACTCCCACTGTCCTTTTTTCCTCCCAAAATAGAGCACCCACACAGGATACAACAGACAGAATATGGCAAAAAAGTAGCAAGACTCCTGACTGCTGGGATGTCAAGTAATGTTGATTTGTCTCTCTGCTGTGCTGAAACATCTCCCAAAGATTGCAATAAAGGAAGAGGGAGGTGACAAAGGGTGTGAAGGGGCAATGTGCAACAGATCACTACACACTGCTGTGGGTTTTGCAGACTATGTGGTGTGCAGCCTGCAGTGAGAGATCTTATGTTCTAGTACTGACAAGGCTGTTTCCTCAGTGGTGGCATCTTCTCTCCCCTGCCCCTCGGCAACTGTTCTAATCACCAAACTCTAACATAGCCAGCACATTCCAGACTTAGCCTTTTTTTCCTTACGTGGTACCTTGGTGTATGTCTTGACTACATGGCTCTGTCGACGGAGCCGTGTAGATGAGGTTTCTAGACGTAGGGAAATGAAGCGGCGATTTAAATAATCGCCGCTTCATTGACAGCAAAATGGCTGCCGCGCATGTATAGGTGTAGAAGCCAGAGAATTAGATTAATGGTTATATTTTATAAGGATAAAAAATACATGTGGATTGGCTATTTGAGGCTTAGTACTGGATAAATCTTAGGTTAAATAAATAAATTATCTAGGGCTGTCAGTTAAATCACCGTTAACTTATACATGAATGTAAAATAATGATGATTTAAAAAATTAATTGCAGTTTTAATTGCACTATTAAACAATCGAATATCAATTGAAAATTAATAATTACAACACAAAATACAAAGTGGACACTGCTAACTTTATATTTTATTACAATTGTACTGTAAAAATGATAAAAGAAATTATATTTTTCAGTTCCCTTCAAACAAGTATTGTACTGTAATCTTTTTAACATCAACGTGCAACTTACAAATATAGATTTTTTTTGTTACGTAACTGTGCGCAGAAGCAAAACTACAAAATTTTAGAACCTACAAATCCACTCAGCAGTTCTTGTTCAACGAACTGCTAAGAGAAACAAGTTTGTTTACATTTACTGGCAATAAAGCTGCACACTTCTTACACTTTTCTGAAAGCGAGAGCAGGTGTTTGCATGGCATTGCAAGGTATTTACATGGCAATTACGCTAAACATCCATATGCCCTCTTCATGTTTTGGCTGCCTTTCCCGAGGACATGCTTCCATGATGACGATACTTGTTAAAGAATAATGTGTTCATTAAATTTATGACTGATCTCTTTGGGGAAGAATTGTATGTCTCTCGCTTTGTTCTACCCATATTCTGCCATTTAGTGCCTATTATAGCAGCCCTGGATGATTACGCAGCACGTTTATTTGAAGGACTCTTTCACTGCAGATTTAACAAAACACAAAGAAGATATCAATGGGAGATAGCTGCAGCACTCAGCCCACGATGTGCTGAAAGGGATGAAGTGTAGCGCATGCTTTCAGCAGTCTTAAAAGAGCCAACATTCTGATGTGGAAACAACAGAACCCAAAGCGCCAAAAAGGAAAATCAACCATCTGCTGCTGGCATTTGATGATGAAAGTGAACATGCTTCAGTCCACGTGGCTTTAAATTGTTATCGAGCAGAACTCGTCATCTGCATGGAAGCATGGCCTCTGGAAAGGTGGCGGAAACATAAAGGGACCCATGAAAGTTTAGTGCAGTGGTGGGCAACCTACAGGTGGGGGCCACATGCGGTTCTGTGTGTGGCCCATGAGACATTTTTTGTCAACCATTGCCCACATGCAAGGTTGCCAGATTCTGTTGGTTTCCACCCACATCGATTTTTCCCGCTGGTATTACTCTAGAGGCATGCACATAAAACAAGGGCACGTGAGGTGAGCTGTGTGCTGCTTGCGCACAACATTGGCTGTGCGAGCCATGTGCTTCCTCTGCATTTAGTCACAGCACTACTGTAGTTAAATCGGCACACTCTGCAAATTCTAGGTACGCAAGTGCCTTTAGCAAAACTACCCTATACCGGGAGACCGTCTTGGTTACAACAGTCTTGCGGCCCCCTGAGATGGAGGACCACTCGTGTGGCCCACTTGCTAACCTAGGTTGCCCACCTCTGGTTTAGTGCATCTGGCACATAAATATCTCTCAGTGCTGCTTTCAACAGTGACACTTTTAGGTGACACTGAAAACAAGCATTATCCCCAATAAATTTAAACAAACTTGTCTGAGCAATTGGCTGAACAAGAAATAGGACTGAGTGGGTTTGTAGGCTCTAAAGTTGTAAATTGTTTCTTTTAATTTTGAATGCTGGTTTTTTTGTACATAGCTCTACATTTGTAAGTTCAACTTTAATGAAAAAGAAATTGCCCTACAATACTTGTATTAAGTGAATTGAAAAATACGATTTTATTTTTACAGTGCAGATATTTGTATTAAAAATAAATATGAAGTGAGCACTGTACCCTTTGCATTCTGTGTTGTAATTGAAATCAATATATTTTAAAATGTAGAAAAATGTTCAAAATATTTAAATAAAAGATATTCTGTTATTGTTTAACTGTGCTATAAATTGCACAATAAACCATGATTTTTTTAACTCAATTAACAGCCCTAAAAATATCTGCTTTAAAGGACTAAAATGTACATAATGAACTACTTCAAAGCAAGGTATCAGCTTGTCCTAAGAGTGTGGATTAAACTAGTGTACGCCTTTAAAAAAAAAAAAAAAAAGTATCCCCAGTACCTACAGTTTTCAGATACACAACATTTTTTTCTACCATTGCAACACATTTGTTTAAACAACTTAATCGTAGCCGGGCAGGCGATAACATTTTTGGCTATAAAAAGTACAAAAATAATAAAGTGCTGTAAAACTTAAAACAAAAATTCAGTTTTCTCCAAATTTCAGTTGTTGACATACTCCCTGACTTCTCTCGAGTTCCCCTAAGTGTACTCATACCACTGGTGGAGAAACACCGGATTAAACAACTTAAAATAATTGAAACTATTTAACAAAAAGTCAGACTCTTGAACAATAGTACTTCAGAACTGTACAGGCAGTCCCTGGGTTACGTACAAGATAGGGACTGTAGGTTTGTTCTTAAGTTGAATTTGTATGTACGTCGGAACTGGTACATATTGTAGGGGAAACTCTAGCCAAACATTTCTCCAGAGCTCAGTTTTATTCTCCCACACCTCACTTCCCTCAGTCCTTTATTCTCAAGCTGAGGTGTCTGCTGAGAAAAGCCGCTCCGCGTCTCCCTGGTCGGGAGGGGGGGGGCACGCTAGCTTCGCGTCTCCCTGGTCTGCTGGGGGGAAGCAGCTAGTGCGGGGTTGCCTCACCCCGTTTGTAAGTAGGGATCCGATGTAAGTCGGATCCATGTAACCCGGGGACTGCCTGTATATTCATTTGAATAACTTTTTGGTGAGATACTCAGAAGAAAACTTTTTCCAAGCATATATAATTGAAAGACAAGATGACTGCTTTTGTGTCTATTTGGTTTACCGTGTGTATTTCTGTATCACTAAAGAAACTGCCTTGTAGCAATCAGATTTCACCTTGAAATAAAATGTCAGCCAGTGGCAAAATGCATCACTACTGGCAATCCATTATATTTGTAGCAATCTTTTATTAGGTCTGTCGTTTTAAAAGTTTGCTGTTGACTTGTGGTAACTGAGCACTTTTATGCAGCACTTCCCACAGATTTTCTGCATGTTTCCCTCCTCCCCCCCATTTAACAATATTGTTATTCCAGCATTAATTATAAAGGCAAACTAACTTGTCATGTTTTTGCTCCAATGCTAATTTGTGTTGAGTCATACCTTGCATCTGTTTTGGTTTGACATTCATTGAAGACTGCTAGACTTGTGTGAATCCTTTCCCCAAAACCCCTGAAAGTTCGGTGTAACTAGTAAATGTGTATTTTGGAGGCCTTGTCTTCCTTTGTTTATTCTTACAGTTGAAAGGGGGTGGGTTCTGAAGTAAACACAGCCTCTAAAACCCTTCACTGAATGCTGCATACGAAGCAGTTAATGCCTGCGTTTTCATTTCAGGGTAGCAAAGTGCAGACAAGAGTTGGATTATTAATGCTGCTTTGTACCTGGCTAAGCGATTGTCCAATTGCCGTCACACATTTTCTCCACAACCCAGCCAATATTCCATTTGTATCCTTTAAATGTTTACAGAATACAGGGATTTGCATGGAAAAAAATCTTATTTTTAATATTAAAAATGTTTGTTTATGTAGCTAAACTTGCAGGAATGTATCAGAATATTTAAAGCTAGTAGGGGTGAGGCTTAAAGAGGCAGTGTCCCCTTCTATGTTAATATGTAGACACTAACTTAAAACATAGTCAAATCTGTGAATTTGGAAGACATGCTATAGACAGATCTTCTGCGCCCAGGTAGCAGTTGCTTGGAGGGGCTTTAGGTACATGTATGCTGCAGTTGGTGTGGTTGCAGCTTGGGCAGAGAGACCTGCAATAGTGGTGATTTAGTTAATATGCCAAAAATAACAGTGAAGAAGTAGAGGCACAAACTTCAGTGTGTGGTCTACAAGCCCACCCAGGATCCTGGGCACATATTTGCATTCCCAGACTGTACTGGGGACCAAGCCACCATGTCCTCACTGCTGTTTTGTTAGCTGTTTCTAGATTCAGGTAGCCTTGGGTATGCCTGCTGAAGCTGCTCTCACACCTCACAATGTCTAGACTACAAGCCTCTTTCGAAAGAGGCTTTTTCGATAGAATCTTTCAAAAAAGCCTCTTTCGAAAGAGAGCGTCTAGAATACAAGCAGATTTTTTCGAAAAAAGCAAGCCGCTTTTTCAAAAGAGAGTCTAGACGCTTTTTCAAAAAAACAGTTTGCATTCAATAGCGCCTTTTTTCGAAAGAGTACTTTCGAAAAAAGGCATTATTCCTCGTAAAATGAGGTTTACTACAATCGAAAAAACTGCCGCATTCTTTGGATTTACTTTTGAAAGAACACATCTTCAGTCTAGACGCAGGGGAAGTTTTTTCGAAAAATTGCTACTTTTTTTTTTTCGAATAAACCCTGTAGTCTAGACACACCCTTTCGGTGGAGATATGCCCACAGTGTACTTCACTGCAGATAAATTCATGGGAGTTTTAGCATGAAGACTCTCACACTTGTAATCTCACAAAAGTGGGAAAATACTTCTCACTGACATTGAATTGTAATCTAGTCTATATTTTCAAGAGCTGTTTGTGGATTTGTTTGTGCAAAATAGTCATACTTCCCATTTACCTACAGATAACAAATTTTGCATAAACAATCCAGCCACTTAAATTAGCTGAATGCACAACTTTTTACACTGGAATATGCGTGGGTGAACGGTTTAAATAATTATTTTTGTTTTTCATTGGAAAACAGTCATGATTATTATGATTAGCATTCATAAAAAGTATTTGCAAACAAAATTAAAATTGAGTTGCCTATTCAACTATCATTTTAGTGCAAAGAACATTTTTACTGTTACAAATCAGAAAATAATTCAGATTAGTTATGGAAAGAATAATGGAAGTGTTATTATCTATGGTAATTATTCAATAAAATGAATAATGTTTGAAGTTGAAATTCTACAAATTTAAAACTGTTCTTTTACTTCTCTTTTGCAAGCACATTAATAAAAAATGCTATGACAGGTATTACATTTCTTGAACTTTCCTATAAGTGTAATCTAAACAAGACCACTATGTCTGGTTCACGACAGGCCTCACCTGCTACTGATAAATGTTCTTCTGTAAAGAGGAACTTAATCCAACTGACAGTTAAGCATCAAGTACTGTCCAGTGGAAGATAGTAGTAGACAGTGTCTTCAAAAAACTTGCACTAATAACATATAGAAGAGAAATGTTTGGATATGAAAAACCTCTTTAACCTCTTACATTGTGTTATTTGGGTTTTAGACTTGAGTAGCAATGTGTGTACACTTTACACAAATTCCTTAAAACAAACTAAATGTCTGAGCAATTTCATTTGCGGCATACTAATGTTACTAATTAAGCTTGTGATTTTCGGGGTAAAGAAATTGGTTTTTACTTGTTGGATTAAGCTTGTAACAAGGAGTTTAGGTTGAAATTACAGTATTGAATGGGAAAGATGCATTTCGTATATTGTGCTCTTGAAATGTTTAAGCTTCCTTAGCTCATGTGCTAGCTCACAGGGCAGATAGCTGAAAATCTTGGAGAAGAGGAGCAGTTAGTTCAAGGCCTGTGTGCACTTTTGCTGGGCATTTCCATTTATTACAATGACAATTCCCTCGAAACTCACAGGAAGTAAGTATGGTGTAGGGCTAACTGAAGGCTCTGGAGAGGCGAATGTTTTTGTGCAGGCTATCAGCTGTCGATCACAGGAAGAAGTTTCTAAATGAAAGACAACACCACTTATGTAATTGATATCCTTATTTTAACAACACCCTCCCTCCCCCTCGCCCCCCCCAGTTCCCTAATGACAATTCCCTCGAAACTCACAGGAAGTAAGTATGGTGTAGGGCTAACTGAAGGCTCTGGAGAGGCGAATGTTTTTGTGCAGGCTATCAGCTGTCGATCACAGGAAGAAGTTTCTAAATGAAAGACAACACCACTTATGTAATTGATATCCTTATTTTAACAACACCCTCCCTCCCCCTCGCCCCCCCCAGTTCCCT